ACCCACACAGAATCCGCCGACACCGGCCAGTAACAAGAAACCTACAAAAGTTATCCTGATTGTCGATTCGAAAACGACCGAGGTAATTGCGTGGGGTGAGAGTGCTGCAACACGACTCACCTTTTTTTCATATTTTTTTTGTGGGTTTAAAAGACGGTATGTAAAATCACGATTACTTCTTTGTGTTCAAAAGCGCCTGTGCTGTAATCCAATCCTAAAATCATAAAAGTTAGGAAACCGAAATTTTTGAAAATGTCAAGCTCGATAACAATTTTTAGGCTCTTGTTCGCCTTCACTTTTGACCACATGACTCCTGCTGGCCTTCATTTTAAGCAATCCTCGAAAGAGGGAGCCGACGCCAGTCCTCCCAGAACATGGCTGCTATTGGCATTTGCTATCAGTCGAGCTGCTTCCCAACTGTCTCTGCTTCTCAGAGAGAGCAAAATTGGAAAGGGATTCTGGTGCATAATATTTTTAATAGAAGTATGTGTACATCAGTGTAGGCACTACGCAATTATAACTAATTAAAAGTAGTAAAAAGAGCAGTTCTGAATTTCTGAATTAACAGTTTTGTTGGGTTACTCGTGCTAAAATTTCTCGTTCGTTTAGATACTGATAGCGCACAGTAATGTTAAGCGGCTGCTCGGCCTATCGTATGAGCAGATGATCGGGCGCCAGCTGACCGAAGTGTTCTCATCAAACTCGGACGACAAGCCGCCAGTGATAGCTTACAGCGAGCTGTTTCATCCGGACGGCCAGCTGAAATCTGTTTATGGAAAAGCGGTGTGTCCTTTCAGGTTTGCTTGACGGAGGGCGACTATTCTGAACTGCTAGCACGTTTCATTTGCAACTGCTGCGCACTCCGGAGTGAGTGATAGGGGCAGTTTGAGTGCGGCCTTTTTTAACGCTTTTGAAAAATAAACAGCTCACAATGCGTTTGCTCGAAATAAGCCTGCTCCCGGAGTGAATGGATACGCGCGCCTGTATAATTTATGTTAACTCAATAAACAATTTATGCAAATATCCAAGACCGTTCGAGCTATCAGTATGAATTTCCCACCAAGAACATCAGGACCCATCGGGCTATCAGTTTCCCTTGCTAGTGATGCTATTGGAATACAGCTGAGCACAGGCTGGACACAAAGCCCTATGATCCTAGGGCTACATATCTTCAGTTCATATCGAATTAATATAATTATTAAGTATAAATTGTTCGTTTTCTACTCTTTCGTCCTTCTCCCCACTTTTTATTGTTTGAAGAGGACAATTTGGGACTCATTTTTTAACAAGAAAACTTCGCAGCGAGCTTGCAAAAAATTCAGTTTGAACTCACACTAGCATGAGTAACTAATAGCGATCAGGGGAGTGAATAAGTATAAAATAATTTATGCTCTAACAAGGCCTACCGGAATAAATTGTACGACACATTTTTTCTATCACTACACAAAACAGTGCTGAACTGACCACTGACTGATGGACAAAAGAGGCTAAAAAGTCCCAAAAAGTGTTTTAAGACACTTAATGCGGCTGCACGCAGCATTTGACTATATCTCTCAACACTAAGGAAATTGCAGAAAAGCACCGAGTAGCCTCTAGCCGCAATGGATTAATTTCCTCTCTGGATTACGAAAGCAGTTCCTAAATTAAATTGAAGGATTCCTGTGCTAGCACGAGAAATTTCCCAAGAATAGCCTATGTACGCAGTTAGGAACAGGTGTTTTGAAAAATTATGCTTAAAAGCAAAATGAGGCAGTGCTTGAAATGAAAACAGTTGCCAGGACTGTCCTTTCCTTTGTCCAAGCTTTTCACAAGTTGGTCTTGCAAACTAATTAGCAGTTGCAGCCGCGTGTTTTGAGTTACTCTTTGAGAGCAATTTCTTCTCGAGTGTGAAAAAGCTGGATTCAAGTGTTGTCGTAAATTTGTACTTTCCTATTATTGCTGCCAGTCTGAGCAGCAGATGTCATTCACTTGAAAGGAGGTCATTAGGAATTGCCCGCTTTGGAAAGCTAACTACATTCGACTATAGCACACAGGAGATTTCTCGTTCATAGACCAAATAAATTTAGTTTTAGACATTCAAATTCATTTTCAGTTCTAATAAATCCCAGTGGGATTCGAAGCAGACAGTTCCTTATGTGGTGTTCTTTTAGTGGAATTTCCACTGCATGCTTGTGCGTCACTTCCTCCCTCACTTTCTAAATTCACTTGCAAACGAACGAAACCATATTGGTAGCTTTTGCAGCAGTAATTCTAACATAATTTGTAAAATCGCAGTATTGCTCATACGCTTGTTTTTCCTTTCGGATACTGAATCTGCCTGCAGCAAGTCTGGGAGAACTTCCCTCTAAGTTTCGGCTACCTATCAGTTCCATACTTATTTCCATATATACGATCACCACTACTCGCTGCTTGTAAAAATGTTCATCCGTATATTTCAATGAAAGCTGTACTTACAGAAACTTCAAAACATAAACATCATACAAAAGTAGCCCAGGTAACCTTGCCATAGCTTTGTGAAACGATCCGTGTGATTTCTGCTCCCTTTCAAGGTCTTTATCAAAGTAATCACTTTGATGCCTCGATTAGCTGTTGTTTCATCGTCGCATTTCTTCTCGCCACTGCCTTAGCTGACAACTTCTCCATTCTTTGTTTTGGGCTTCTCTCATCCACGTAATTTCCCATAGCCTTTTGAACTGGCAGGTTTGGCTGCTGCCTCTTTCCTCCTATTCCATTCACGTCCTGCTCATACCAGTGAATATGCACTTGATAAATGAAAGTATTGATAGCTCTTAGATTCAAGTCCCCCCAGGCAATAATCATGATCATCTTCCCTCGTGGTAACCCTAAAACTTTTCTACTTGGGAAATCAACTAGTGGTCTGGTTTGCAACAGATATTGAGAAAATGAAAAAAATCATTCCTTAAAACTTCTTATAAGCTCAAATCCTAACCATCGGCTCGTAACAGCTTGTCTAGATCCATTCTTTGAATATCGTAACTACTATGTTTACCAGCAAAGTCGCCTAGATTGCTTAGCTCATTGGCTTCCTAGCTATATCTTTAAGCCCTTACACAGAGCTATTAGTCGCTATTTCAAAATTGTCTGAACTCCTTTCCAAATGAGATACTTTTTAAGCTTTTGCGCATGCCTTAGGTTCATCCGTCTGTAGATAAGAGCTGCTTGCAAAACTGGGTTTTAGCTTATGGTTGAGAATTCATTCGTTAGCTATATTTTATAATGAGTTTTTTTTTCACTTGTCCTGAAGCTTGTTCAAAAGCCGTCTTTTCTTGATTTGGTTTCCTAGCTAACATAGTTTCGAAGTTGTCCCAAAAGACATTCACTTACACTCAGACGTGATTTCGCCTTTTGACAGTGCGTAGCAAAGTCAGAACTTCTCCGGATTCACACTTTACGCGAGGCGAAAGTACATGAAAATAGCTCTCTTTTTAGACGGCTGCTTACAGTCAAGCTTATGACGCATAAAGACGTTGTTTTGCTGATATATCAAACGAGCAGGAGTGTTTCGGTCCATTAAGTTGCATACATTCCTATTCAGCACCACGGCTGAATCTCGTGGGTACGACGACAGTGCCACTGATAAATATGAGGGGGAAGGGTTATCTGTACTAATTTGATATCGAAAGGAATGATGGGTTGTTTTTTTTGATACAAAAAAACATAACTTGTTAGACGTCTCCGTGCGTGTTGCTGTTGTTATTATTTGCGGGTGGAAAGATGAAAAGCACTGCACATGCAGATCAACAATCGGAAATTGATTTGCTAATTGCGCCGTATCACTCGATCGGTGTGTTTGTTTACTATCCCTTTTGTTTTTTTTTTTTTTAAATGTGTTTTCAGATTTGCACAAACTCACTGTGCAATTTTGAAATTCTGCCGATGTACGTAGGTCTCGCCGTTTTCTTCAAATTACATGTGAATTTCCCCTCTCGCGCACGTCTTCCTGGGAGTGATTACCGATCATCCAGGAACTACTCTCAGAACTCCTTTAAACTGGAAGGACAATGTTCATCAGCAAGAAGAAAGAAACGGTCCTTACTGGCCTCATCCTCGAACTCGTCTAATGGCCACTGGCTACGATGTGGTTCTGACGTTTCAACATTTACGTCATCGCCAATCGTGCTTACATCACCCGCAGTAGCTCTATCCGGTAGCATAATCAGCACGCCATCACCACTCCTGCTACAGCCTAAACCGGACATGAGCCAGGCCGGGATGGGTGGTGGAGTAGAGGGGAAAGAAGAAGGGGACGAGGAGGGCGGGCAAGAGTGGCTCTAATTTGCTTGCTACTCATCATTTTCTATATGGTTTTATTCGTAAGCTTTTATTATTTTTGAAATAAAACCAGTTTCTACGTGAACTTCCCTCCTCATGCTCTTTTACAATTTCACATGTTTTTAATATGTTTTTTTTTTCAAACTCAAAAATACGTACTGAGGAAATCTCGTGCACATATGTGTGCGTATGTATTTATGCATATGTGTGTGAGAATATTTATATGTGTGTTTGTTTGTGTGTGTATGTGTTTATGCGTGTGTGCCTGTGTGTGTGTGTGTGTTTGGCTGCATGTGCATGTGTATTTGCGAGGTATAGATCCGGAACTCCAGAAGCTTCTTTACTGTGTTTAACATTACAAACCAGCTGAAACTACAGGTCCACAATTAACTTTCAAAACTTTATTCCAAACTGTCCTCCCAAGCAATCCGCTCTTGAAGCAACGTGGGTGCTGTTCATACCTTAGTCAGTTCATACTAAATGCATTCGCTTCCGAACACACACACAGCCTCTCGACAGTGCCATAGCGCTGCTACGGCCAGCACGAGCGCATATTGTCGAGAGGCTGTGTGTGTGTTCAAAAAATTTTTATTTTCTATTTTTTCAAAAAGCTAGCATTTACCAAAAAAACAACCGAGCTTTATGCAGAGAACTGATAATCATATACCTGGGAACTGATAATGCAGAGAACTGATAATTATATACCTGGAGGTCCATATGGCTCTATAATGCAACACCCTCATCCCAGCCGATGCCCATTCTGCTGCATGCCGGAAGAAACCAAAGCATGGCCAATATGAGCCCAAGTGTTTAGCTACAGCGCGGGGATTATTTCTGCTATTAGCGACCCGCGAGTTTTGTGCAAAAACGCATGATCGCACTGGCAATCCTGGTGCGTTTCAGCCTGGGTTTTCCTCAGAAAGTTGAGAAACAAAACTTTAAAGAAAACAGCTGCAAAATTTAGTCAAGAAAATGCGAAAACAAGCATAGGAATGAGGTTTTCCCAGCCGAATTCTGCATGAAGTAGCTGTCTGAGTCTGCAGCGAAAGGCAAAAGATTATTTGAGTAGCAAATGCGATTGGGCTGCTGTGG